AGATCAATCTTAGCTTTATATTTATTTTTTTGCCTAAAGCTAATAAGTGAGTGAGTGAGTGAGTGATGAGAGAGAGAGAGAGAGAGAGAGAGAGAGAGAGAGAGAGAGAGAGAGAGAGAGAGAGAGAGAGAGAGTACATTTACCTGGTTMATATTATTTATGTATGCAATAGATGTAAAGATATCAAGTTAAGTAACACACACACACACACTGAACCTCAACTAGACTTAACAAAAAATAATTTTTAACATTATATTTTATACATGCATTTACCCTCAAAACATACTAATCCTTGATTGACCTTGATACAAATCCATACCTTCTATATTAATAGTATATATATAACATGTATATTTAGAAAAAAATTATTAATAATTTTTTATTGGGTTAAATAAACTCATTTATCAAGTAATTTAATAGGTATACACTGTATAAACCCTTAAATGTTTTTAAAATAAATAAATATTTACATTAAAAATGTCTAAATATTTGCTTCTTTACCACAAATATTGTTATTAAATTCAATAGTCTTACAAATAAATTCACTTTTTATTAAGAGTATGACATTCAATGCACTTTCACTGAGACTATTAACCTTATTAAACATAATTTAAAATATTTATTGAGAGGAGTCTCTCTTTCTTTCTCGACTCTAATAATATTTAAAAATATATAGTAATAATAGAGATTATAAGATAATTATAAAATTTATATTCTTATACAGTTGTAATTAATAACAATATTTTATAAAATTAATTTATTTTTAAAAAAAATATCTATTAAACAATTAGACATAATTATAATACAGTATTATGTTTCAGAAAAACTTTATTATATTTATTAATTGATAAAAAATATATTATTTAAAATACAGTACAGTTGACCTCTGCGACCATTGACCATCATATTTAGTGATACCAATATTAGTCAACAAAACAAAATTCAAATTAATTATAATTATAAATAATGTCAATGACTTGGTTTTTATAGATAACAGTAATCCCARAGCCTTGGACTATATATCAAGAGCCACAATACCGATGAGTTGAACCATTCGGTTAGAGTTAGAGTCGGCCAMCGGTTCGCCGATCGGAGGATAGACTGAAAAATGATTCCTTACTATAATTCATAATAATAAACAAAAATTAGTTAATTAATTATATATATTGTTTTCAATAGACTTTTGTCAAATTTTAAATAATAATCATATATTTTAAAATAATTTATAATCTCAGCAATAATTGTTAGATTAGCTAAAATCAAATAATTTATAAAAGTTTATTTGTATCTTTTAAATAGATAATTACCGTAATCACTTTGATAAAAATTAAAATATATTTATACAGAAAAACAAGTTATACATAAAATACTGTATATAAATAAATATAGAAATATTATATAAATATTAACAAAGTTTAATAGTTTACTAATAATACTGTACTAAATAATAATTGCTATAAATTGTTAAGTTTAAGGTACAGTATATAGTATTTTATACTAAATAAATAAATATCAGTACTTACTATTGTAGTATATATTGCCATGGTTAATTATTACATTAATTGTAAACTATCTGGTTTCAATTTTAACATAAACATCTTGCGGTTCAACAAATATTATCCACGGTTTATAGCGTATGGGAACCGGCGTACGTGCGGTTGGGATGAACCGGTATTTGCGAACCAACTGTGCGACCGCCAGTTTTATTTCAATGAGCGCCAGTCGTTGTCCCAAACATTGTCGAGGACCGGCACTAAACGGTAGATAAGTATAGGGAATTATATTTGTTTTATTTGCCGGCAGAAATCTATCCGGATTGAATCGATAGGGATCGGGATAGTATTGTTCCGATAGATGTATGCCATAGACCGGTATCTCAATTTGTTGTCCCCGTTCAATAGTTATACCAGTATTACCTAAACGATAGTCACGTTTTGGGTATCGTTGTATTACCAATGTTGTTGGATGTAGTCTAAATGTTTCGCTGACCACTGCATCCAAATATGACAGTTCCCATAACTTATCGCAACTGATGTCCTCTTTATCGACAGTATATGCGGTTAACTCGTCGTATAGTTTTTGTTGGACGTCCTGATTAAGTGTTAGCTCATACAAGCAAAACGTTAACATTGTTGCCGGTCCCTCATAACCACCCACCACTAACATCAAACTGTTTGCTATTATCTCAACAGTTGTAAGCAATTTGTCATTAGTTTCGGGTTTAGTGTTGGCGTTATTTTTATAGTCTAAAGTTATAGTAAAAAAATAATTTRTAAAAGATTTTTAATGGTAGAAAACATTTAAAAACATCAATAATAAAATAACATCTATTTATACCTAAATAATTGTGACCATTTATTTGTGTATCCGATGAACCCGTCATTATTAACAACTCAGCCATACAAACATTTTTATTACTTAAACTATCATTTTTTCTTAAATTAGCTGACAATTTATTTAAACAATTGCAAAGATAGGTTATAATGGGATCATTGATTAGATTTGATATTATATTAACTACTGATTTTGGTAATAAATAAATAAATATATTTCTCAAATGAAATTTATTTAATAAACTTCTGGCATAACGAATAAACTCTATTTCCGTTTCGCGTAAGTCATAGACATTAAGTTTACAGCCGAGAGCACAGGTATGTATGACATCCAATGAGTATCTGCCAGACATTTCACTGACATCGATCTCACCACTACCCGAATCCATGTGATCTAAATGTTTGGTTAAGTCATTGACGCACCGGTCAATTATGGGATATATGTGACTGAGTTTGCCCGATGAAAATAATGGACTTATCAATTTTCGGTAACGATGCCAGTGGTCATCATTGCTTAGAAATGGACTCTTATATGAAAACGGATCGGTAAACACTTGTACTGTTTTGTCAGTAAATACGTCAAAGTGCTTAATGAGTATATCTTTGATGAGCTCCGGGTCGGCCACACGTAGTACCGGTTTTGTACCGATATATATACTATAATATATATTTATCATTTAAAAGATTAGTCCAAATAATTTTGTTATTAAGTTTCATATATATTATAATACCCATAAATTTTGCCAAATTTTTTGAACCATTTTAGCTCCTGTATAGGTTGAGGTCCTAATATTAAAGCCAATAGATTACCGTAAATGGGTATTGGTTTGGGTCCAACAATACCACGTTTAGACCAATAATTATAATCACTATATTAATGATGGAATAAACAATGTTTAATATTAAATAAATATATTTTAATTCAATATATAGTCAAATAATTAATAATWYATACTTATTAAGTTTAATATAAATTATTACTAATATAATCACTAATAATAGTATTAAAAATAAATACATTTTATAAATATWTRTMTAAACTTTTATTTATAAAACTAATATTACATTTAACTTATGTAATCATTGCAAACATTGTGATAAAAGCTCAGATGAATCTTAGATTTATATTTATTTTTGCCAAAAGCTAATGAGTGAATGAGAGAGAGARAGAGAGAGAGAGAGAGAGAGAGAGAGAGAGAGAGTACATTTACCTGGTTCATATTATTTATGTATCCAATAGATGTAAAGATATCAAGTTAAATAACACACACACACACACACACCCTGAACCTCAACTAGAAATAACAAAAAATAATTTGTATTATATTTATACATGCACWAATACATTMACTTTTTATTATGTGAATAACATTTARTGCACTTTCACTGAGACTATTAACCTTAATCTAACAATAATTTAAAATATTTATTGATARGAGTAAATAATATGAACCAGGTAAATRTACTCWCTCWCTCTCTCTCTCTCTCTCTCTCTCTCTCTCTCTCTCTCTTTCTTTCTCTTTAATAATAACTCTAAWAATGTTTTTWAAAATAAATTCTAAAATTTTAATTAATATGTAATTTATTTCAATTTTAATTAMTTGTATGTTTAGTCYAACATATAATAGTTGACWAMATTAGAATGTGTAAGTTTTTTTTAAAATTTAGTAAATAAATATTTTGCTAATTATTTTAATTTTTTTATAATTAATTATTAATTTTATTTAGTATTATTMAACATTTTTAGTTCTGTACAATACAATAATATCTAATACAGTATATATTTTTAATAATATTATAATAGTTAATATTTCATAATATTGTATAACATTATTAAAATAAAAAATTAATATCAACTAATYTGATACATACTAATATAMYATTATTTAGAGTTAATTAAAAATATATAGTAATAATAGAGATTCTAAGATAATTATAAAATTTATATTCAATTAGTCAATAAAACAAAATGCAAAGTAATTAAAAATATAAATTATAAATAATGTCAATGACTTGGTTTTTATAGATAACGGTAATCCCAAAGCCTTGGACTATATATCAAGAGCCACAATACCGATGAGTTGAACCATTCGGTTAGAGTTAGAGTCGGCCACCGGTTCGCCGATCGGAGGATATGCTGAAAGATGATTCCGTACTATAATTGATAATTATAAACAAAAATTAGTTAATTATATATATATATATATATATATATGACATACAGTTCTGTAAAATCAATTGAATTGTTTTGAATATTTTTTTGCCAAACGAGACATCAGATAATACTATATAACGTCTCTTCAGTCTCTTAATTGATATGATAACTGTCTTCATCTTTGTGTCACTAATTTATGTCTTTAACTAATAACTGATTTGGATCTCAATTACTAATCAAATAAGTTTCAAAAGTGTTGTCAGGAAATGAAATTTATATCTAAATATTTTTTTCAGATACAGCTCTCGACACAAACTCTGAATACAATTTGTTTGTTGAGATTCTTCGTTAAGACCAATGACTTGTTTTTTTTGGTCACAATTACGCCATAACTTAAACGACACGATATATTAWCTGTAGTTATATTAAAATAATATYAATAATAGTTACATAAATAATTATAACTTACTAATTATTAATTTAATWATATATATATATATATATATATATATATATATATATATATATATATATATATATATTAGACAAATTATTTAAATATTCAGAAAACAAACAATTAATAGAAAACAAAATTATTGTTTTTTCAATTTATTTTMTAATATTTTCTATGTAACAAATAATTGACGTTTTATTAAATAAATATATATTAATGTAAAATATTTTATTACATACTTTAATGGTTTAGTTAGGGTGGGGTTAGACTAATGTTTTTATTGGTTAGTTGTGATGTAATACTGTATTATGACAACTAATACAGTGATGTACGGTATATACAGTACAGTAGTAATATTTGTAGGATTGTCTAACAATTTAAATATCATTGTATCTAAAAATCTATAACTTGTATAAATTTACTATTAATAKACAGTATATTATATCAAATTATATATTAGAAATAATTTATAACAATACTTTAATTTATAAAATTTAATAAATTATTGTATAAAAAATGATAAATTTTTCTTAACATTGGTAACAATAAACTGGATCTATTTATTAATAATTAAATAATTATAATAATTTTTTTATATAGCATTGTATTAACAGATTTTATCGTTTACTTGTAAAACGTAAGTTTGACTGATTGTTGGACTATCGCCAACCTCTTCTTCATCATAGCATTTGTGGTTGAAATCTACATTATATTCCTCTTTAGTCATCACTGTTGAGTCTGTTGTCTGGTATACTAACTTCGTTGTTGTTGTTGTTYGTCTCGGATCTGRTCTTCAATTCGYARATTTTTAAAAAAAAATTGACACAAAATCTGATATATTTTGTTGTGATTCTCGTTAAGACTTCMGCCGATGACTGGCTTTTGTAATAATAATAATATTAATAATAATATTGTAATARTAGTTAAATAAAATTATAACTTAAWCTAATTAAATTAATATTTAACAAATTAAAATAGTTGTAAAATTTTTTCAATATWYAYTTACACAAAAAATATAATAATAAATTAACTAAACAAATTAKTGTTTTAAAAATTTGTTTTAACATCAAATAATTTCTATTTTTAAAGTTTTAAATAAATATTTATGTAATTTTATATTTAAAATATGATATTTTGCAATATATAAAAAAAACTGAATTTATATAACTTTCATATTGAAAAAAATTTATTTAATACATAATAGTAATATTGAAATATACAAACCTGTATTAAAAAATTATCAAAAATATAAATAACAAGTTTTTAGTTAACCATATTGAAAATGTTATCAAAAAAGTTATATATAATAAAGTAAATGTTTTAATTTTAGTAAATCAATATTAATATTATGTTGTTGTTGTTAATTTATATTTAATTATTTACTTATAAATTTTATTTAGTGTATTCAAAAATTGAAGTAATTAAATAATATAATTTTTTATATACTGTATTGTAGTTAATATTATACAATATTAAAATATAAAATAATAACAAATTTATATGATTTTTTATATAGTAGTTTTTATATAAAAAAAATAATTTTATTTAAAAATAAGTTATATATGCTATAAATTAAAATTTTTAGTAAATATATTTATTAATATAATAAATTGTGATTAAAAAAATAAGCTCCTATTGAATGAATTGTAGTGACCAGTGATGACAATGTGATAATTGATACACACATTTGACATAATGATCAGTCATGTGATTATAAGATGTGGCACTTTTGATGATTGAGACTTTAATTGTTGTTCAATTGGTTAAACCTAATCAATTCAATCCTATGGCCACTATCATCGGCAATATGGCCATTGCCTGCCATACGATTGCGATTACGATTGCGAACTATTTATTAATTTTTATAAAAAAATATATTAAGTGATTAAGAAAATACATGGTTGTAAAACTAATTTAAGTGTAATTTTTTAAAAATTCATTACAATATTGTACTTTAAAATAATTGTTAATTATATTATTGCAGTGTATTTTGTGTTAACTATAATATATTAATTGACATATTTTTTATACATTTGACAGTAAGTACAATATGTTATTTTATAATTTTTAATTTTATACTAAATTGATTTAATAATTTATCATTTTTTAGTTGTTTAACTAACATACATTACTTACATACATCTATTAAAATAATTATTACACACACACACACACACATTGTTAATTAATTGAAATTAAAATTTTATACTATTAATAACAAAATAATTTTCAAATATTAAAAATAATATAACATCTTTTTATAGTTAGCTAATATTTAGTTTTTAATAATTTTTTCAACATTTATAATAATAATTATTATAATTATGTGAATTAAAATTAGTAAATTTTTAATTAACAAAAAAAAATTTAATCACAATAATTTAATTTACATTTTCTAATGGCCCATCTACCAGTACGATAAATTATTGTACCGATTAATCTGACCATGGTCAATTCGGCACATGCAGTGCCCAGTATCTCAAATAATGCATCCATTTTGTAATAATGTTGAATATATCGACACAAAAATAATTAGATAATTTGTTATCCAATTTACAGTTAATTAACAATTAGTTTACACTATTGTCTTGTCTTGAATTTACTAAATCAATGAATGAGACACTTATTGTAATTAAATCTAATTAAATAATTAGATGTAATTCTAATTGATTACTATATAATAGTATGAATAATATAGTGTAATGTCTGTCAAAGTGTACGCTATGTCTAATACAGTGTGTGAACAGTGTCTGTCATGCGATGTCTGATGTCTGAGACTCCAACCAAACTGAAATCAATTTGTCATACGATATAATTCAACCAATCAGAGAGTGACTATTTGAAGGTTATATATTTTTTTCTTAACAGAAATATTATATACATATTACAAAATTGAACATAAATTGTTGCAATTAAATAAGTGATTTATTTGTAATATTTTTGTAATATACGTAATATTAACGTAACAAATAAAATCAAATATTATTTTTTACTTAAAATTATATTTTTTTAAACAACAAAAATTATTGATAAATTAATTGATAGTTTAATTACAATAATAATAATATTAATAATAGTTGGTTATAATTTTTTCAGTCAATAATTGAAAATAAAGTCCACAAAAATAATTATGTAATTTATTTAATTGATTAATATCTGATTGTAATACTTGAAACTGTGGCCACATTCGGGCCAATCGTAGGTAAACAATGCGAGTCCTAAATGAGTATTCATATGAATTATCAATTGAAATCTCTCTTAAATAATTGTCATCACATTATAATTAAATGTTTATATATATTGTATTTTAGAATAAATAAACTAAAATATTTTTAAATATTAAAATATTAATATAAAAAGATATATTTATAACAAATAGTGATATTTTACTGTATTATTACATTAACTCTATATTAAAAGCATTATAAATAAAGTAATTATTTTTGTGTTGATTACATAACTGGATATTAAAATTAATATACTTTTAATATAATTATAGAATAATCAGATTTTATGATTATAAATGTGTAAACATATGTAAAATTAGTTATTTTTTTGGAATTATCTATAATGCTTAATAAATTAAATAATATATATTTTTAAAAATTAATAATCAAAAAAATGCTTAACAGCCTTGGTCTTGAACTCACGTTTTAAATTTATTCAAACTTAATGTCTATCAAATGCTTCAGTAAAAAGTTATAAAAACTTTTTTTTAAATTATAATATTAATTTAAAGTTAAATATTTTGTTTTTCATTTTTACATAATTCCAAAATTACAATTGTTATAATAAATAATTTGAAAAATAATTGGATAATTAATAATAAAATATAAAAAATTATATTTTACTATATTTTTATATAGTTTATTGAATTAATTTTCAAATTAAAATAATTATATAATTATTTTTTATTGAATGATAATAAAAATAGGAAAATACATGATTATTAAAAGTAATAAGTATATAATGAATTATGAAAATTTTTCATAATATTTAAATAATTGATATTATATAATAAAGTAAATTTTCGTTAAACAATATTAATATTTTTTGTTGTTATTATTTAATAATAATTTCACAAATTTTATTTAGTGTATTAAACAATTGCAACAATTAAATAATATAAATCTTTTTTTAAAACTGTATAACAGTTAGTACTATACAATATTGTTAATACTAAATAATAATAAATTATATAAGTGTATTTTTAAAAAATAAATTATATTTAAAAATAAGTAATTTATGATATAAATTAAAATTATATATATATATATATAAATAAAATGTGATTAAAAAATAAGCTCAAATTGAATGAATTGTTGTGACCAGTGATGACAATGTGATAATTGATGCACACATTTGACATAATGACCAGTAATGTTATAATATGTGGCACTTTTGATGATTGAGACTTTAATTATTGTTCAATTGGTTAAACCTAATCAATTCAATCCTATGGCCACYATCATCGGCAATATGGCCATTGCCTGCCATACGATTGCGATTACGATTGCGAACTATTTATTAATTTTTTTAAAATATAGTGATTAAAAAATACATGTTTCATTATGTTGTAAAACTAATTTAAGTGTAATTTTAAAAAATTACATTACAATATTATACAGTATTGATACTGTACTTTAAAATAATTGTTTATTATATTATTGCAGTGTATTTTGTGTTAACTATAATATATTAATTGACATATTTTTTATACATTTGACAGTAAGTACAATATGTTATTTTATAATTTTTAATTTTATACTAAATTTATCATTTTTTTAGTTGTTTAACTAACACACATTACTTACATACATGTATTAAACCTATTAATATGCACACACATACATTGTTAATTAATTGAAATTAAAAATTTATACTATTAATAACAAAATAATTTTCAAATATTAAAAATAATATAACATTTTTTTTATAGTTAGCTAATATTTAGTTTTTAATAGTTTTTTTCAACATTTATATTAATAATTATTATGTGAATTAAAATTAGTAAATTTTTAATTAACAAAATAAAAGACAATAATTTAATTTACATACATTTTCTAATGGCCCATCTACCAGTACGATAAATTATTGTACCGATTAATCTGACCATGGTCAATTCGGCACATGCAGTGCCCAGTATCTCAAATAATGACTCCATTTTGTATTAATGTTGAATATATCGGCACAAAAATAATTAGATAATTTGTTATCCAATTTACAGTTAATTAACAATTAGTTTACACTATTGTCTTGTCTTGAATWTACTAAATCAATGAATAAGACAATTATATTATAATTAAATCTAATTAAATAATTAGATGTAATTCTAATTGATTACTATATAATAGTATGAATAATACAGTATATTGTAATGTCTGCCAATGTCTGTACGGTATGTGTGATATAGTGTGTGAACAGTGTCTGTCATACGATGTCTATCGTCTGAGTCTACAACTAAACTGAAATCTATTTGTCATATGATATAATTCAACCAATCAGAGAGTGACTATTTGAAGGTTATATATATATTTTTCTTAACAGTAATATTATATACATATTACAAAATTCAACATAAATTTGCGATTAAATAARTGATTTATTTGTAATATTTTTGTAATATACGTAATATTAACGTAACAAATAAAATCAAATATTATTTTTTACTTAAAATTATATTTTTTTTAAACAACAAAAATTATTGATAAATTAATTGATAGTTTAATTACAATAATAATAATATTAATAATAGTTGGTTATAATTTTTTCAGTCAATAATTGAAAATAAAGTCCACAAAAATAATTATGTAATTTATTTAATTGATTAATATCTGATTGTAATACTTGAAACTGCGGCCACATTCGGGCCAATCGTAGGTAAACAATGCGAGTCCTAAATGAGTATTCATATGAATTTTCAATGAAATTTCTCTTAAATAATTGTCATCACATCCTAATTAAATGTTTATATATATTGTATTTTAGAATAAATAAACTAAAATATTTTTAAATATTAAAATATTAATATAAAAAGATATATTTATAACAAATAGTGATATTTTACTGTATTATTACATTAACTCTATATTAAAAGCATTATAAATAAAGTAATTATTTTTGTGTTGATTACATAACTGGATATTAAAATTAATATACTTTTAATATAATTATAGAATAATCAGATTTTATGATTATAAATGTGTAAACATATGTAAAATTAGTTATTTTTTTGGAATTATCTATAATGCTTAATAAATTAAATAATAAATATTTTTAAAAATTAATAAACAAAAAAATGCTTAACAGCCTTGGTCTTGAACTCACGTTTTAAATGTATTCAAACTTAATGTCTATCAAATGCTTCAGTAAAAAGTTATAAAAACTTTTTTTTAAATTATAATATTAATTTAAAGTTAAATATTTTGTTTTTCATTTTTACATAATTCCAAAATTACAATTGTTATAATAAATAATTTGAAAAATAATTGGATAATTAATAATAAAATATAAAAAATTATATTTTACTATATTTTTATATAGTTTATTGAATTAATTTTCAAATTAAAATAATTATATAATTATTTTTTATTGAATGATAATAAAAATAGGAAAATACATGATTATTAAAAGTAATAAGTATATAATGAATTATGAAAATTTTTCATAATATTTAAATAATTGATATTTAATGCTAAATATAATTCAAAATATGTCAAATATATATATAACTATTTTTAAAATATATATTAAAAAATATTACATCTAAACTACTGTATAATGACTATATAAAAATGTAAAATTTAATAAAAAAACTTATAATTTCAATAAGTTTTTAATAAATGAAAAAATACAATAATATGTCAATAATATGATTCATACGACACCGGGAACTGTAGATTTGGTCTCAAAACGAATCAGTTTAACCTCTTCATTAGAAACGGCCTCCGATTGACTATTTGGTGTAATATCTGAAGGATTCACAACTAATTGATTTTTAATTAATAAAAATAAAAYATATATTAAATAATCATAATAAATTTAATATATATATATATATATATATATATATGTATATATATTAAACATACAAAATCGTGAAATTGATTTGATTGTCTCGAATAGACGGTTTGCAAATGAAATAGTAGACGCTATAAATTGTATTGTCTCTAAAGTATCCATTATTTTAACAATCAATTGATAGATAATTAAGGCAATGGTTATCAAAACTATTAGAACACCAGTTATTATGTTTAATCGGTTGTTAGCATAAGTGGCCACCAAATAGTAGATATCGGACTTTTTTAAACAATTTTTCTTAACTATAAATTATTATATTTTAGAAAAATATAATTAATTTGTTAATTTAGTAAATATAAAAACAATAATCTAAGTTAACATACAATTGTTATAAATCCATTTAATTACTTTGAATCCATTGTCACCGATTGCAGCCAATAGAGCTGTATTAACAAAACCAGATAAGGAATCGATTTCAAATAAAGCCATTTGACATAGAATTAGTATAACAATCACTAGGAGTACTATAACAATAATCGGCAAATACATCATCAGATTAGCGATGGCCACACATTGGCTGTCAGTTTGGTTACGAACTAATAAAAAATGATATTTAATAAGAAAATAATTAATATAAGTTGTTTGTCAATCAGATTGACACCAAAATAGACTCTATTGATCATTGAATGACATTATGAAATAAACCAAATTTATTTCCAAAAAAAACAAATAAAATTGTTTTTTTTATAAAAATTTATGTAATCAAAACTTAAAATAATTTTCTATTATAAATGATCAGTGGTCACTTTTTAATTTATATATAATTTATTTTTTAATAATATTAATTTATTTATAAAAATTATTTATACTAAATATATCATATTATATTGCTTAAAAACAATAATAAATAAAATAATTTTTACAAAATATACTAACAATTTAATTGATATTTAGATTATAATTAAAATCACTAACTTATGTATCTAACTCGGGACTCAAATTGTATCGCAATTAATTAATTAATTAATATATATATATATATTGTAAATAGTATATAGTAAATACATATATATAATATATATATATATATATATATATATATACTTATATATTATATTGTATATTAAAGTATGATTTAATGTTAAATCAATGCCGATACCAATGGAAAGCCATTTAAAAGAGTTATTATGATTGAGACACGAGTCAAAGATTGATTGTAATTATTACCAATTATTTTCATATAAATTAATAAACTAGTTAATAATTTTTGTTGTTGAAAATTTTATATCATATTTCTGAAAATATCAAATTTTACTAATAATAATAATTAACTTACAATATTTATGGGTCCACTTTATTATTTTCCAAACACGTTTTACAAATGATAGTAACAAATTTAAATAGAGAATTATCATTAATAAACCAACATTTGTTAAATAAGTCATTGTATCGATGAAAATGTCTAAAATCATATTGACAACTAAAACATAAAAGCAAAATATAAATTATGAATATTATCTATAAGTTGATTATTAACTAATATTTGTCAATATTTTTTTGAACGATAATAAATTGCATTAAATATCTATTACGGAATGACTAACTGAGCGCAAAAACGCGCGGAAAATGATGTCAAAACATGAAATCCTATTTTATAAAAATCATATCTGTTTGTTGTTTCAAATAATAATTGTGTTAAATTATTAGTGTAATACAACAAATTTTCTACTTTTTTTATTCAATATTATATATATATAATGATATATATATATATATTTAGTGACATCTTTAGTATAATAAATAATAATATTATAGTAATTTATTATTATTCTATATTTTTAAATAATTAAAAATTATTTAATTCATATTAAATACAATATATATATATATATTGTATTTAATATATAATTACCGGTATTTTTCAATTGAATAATATTCTACATGAATATAATGATGTCATAAAAGGTCTGTTTTTTAAATAATACTATAGTATTCATAAATAATGTTTCAGTAAAATTATGTGTAATGTACTGTATTTACAGTAAAAATTACTAATAGCTGTAAATTTGAAATTTATATTCTTTATTAAAGCTAAATATATTTATTTTTTCAAATGAAACACTAAATATAAAAATTAAAAGTTTTATACGAGTATTCTCTAATAGAGAATCTCTATATTGCTGTAAATGATATTACTTATGTATGAATATGTTTATATAATATATAAGTAATATTTAAGTAAAAACACATTAATTTAGATTATAATTCTAAACAAGAAAGTATTTTTTAATAAAATTTCATATAAAACTTAAATTTTTTTTTGTAAATTAATTAATTTTTAATAATAATCAATTGGTTTTTAATATAATTTTATTTAATTGAAATTTTTAATAATAAACTTCTTATAATAGTTAGCAATTTATTTTGTAAATAAAATATTATTATATTATACATTATATAATTAGTTAACACAATAAAAATATTTATTTGAAATCATTAATTTTCATGTCTTTTGATTTTAAATGTTTTCGTTTAAAATGTCTAATCATTTGTTTCTTTTCAACAAATTTCAAATCACAATCAATAGCCTCACAAATGACTGGCTTTTCGCCCGTATGTAACATTAAATGCATTTTCAATGATACTATTAATTAAAAAAATCATTATTAATATTAATAATAACTAATTATTAAAAATATTTAAGATTTTAATTTACATTTAGATTTTAGCCGCTTTTGACAGCTCTCATAGGGACAGACATGTTGTGAGACACAGGTATGAGTCAWATAATGTCGCTTCAGATGAGTTGTGTTACGGAATCGAGAATCACATCCCGGCCTATAATAAAGTCACAAAATTAAATACAACAATCAAATAAAGTCTATACAAAAAAATTTTRGTAGAAATATGACAAACCATTCACAACGATGTGGTTTTTCATTGGTGTGAATCGTATAATGAGATGTTAGACTAGACTTTGATCTAAATAACAATAATTAAAATTTAATTTAATAATTAATTTTTTTTTTTAAATAATTGGTGTGATTGTAATACTTGAAACTGCGGCCACATTCGGGCCAATCGCAGGTAAACAATGCGAGTCCTAAATGAGTATTCATATGAATTTTCAGTGAAGTATCTCTTAAATATTTGGCATCACATCCGGGCCTATGGTTTGATAAAAATTTTTGGTTTTAATCCTATAATTTGATTACTTTTATTCAAAAAGATAAGCAAATAATACATACCATTGGCAACAATATGGTTCATCACCCGTATGAATAAGTTTATGTTTTTCTAGATATTCAGTAGTAATAAACAAGTTTTTAAAAAAAAAAATTATAATCATATTACTGGTAAATTTACCGTACCGGTAATTTTACAATAACTGACCTAGTAGATTTTTTAATTTAAATTGTTTGCCGCATCCGTTCCAATCACAGATAAATTTAATATCATTTTTATTGTGTGACCACATCTTATGATTACTAAACAAAATAATATAATATAAATATTTTTTAAAAAATTATATTAACAAACAAATAATGTATTATCAGCTAAAAAGTCTCACTTAAGTTCCCCTAACGTATAGAAACTCCAATTACAGTCCGGATATTCATCGATACATTTAAATTGTTTTTCACCGAAATGTCGATTCCTATAATTATATCGCATTTATTATTACATATTATGTTTATTGAGTGCATACTGTGGACAGACAAACCTGTGAACCAATAGTTTACTATATTTATCAAAACAAAGTCCACAGTTATTGTAATTGCATCGAAACATTTGCTTTTCCMGATCGTATAGTTGCCGATGATTGGGACGGATATGATTAGTCAATTGTTTTTGTGTCCAAAACATTTGATGACATTCAACACAATTCATTGGAGTCTTAGTTAAGTGAAGTTTTTTCACATGACTTTCCATCTTATCTTTGACGGCACACTTGAAGTCACAATAATTATAATTACAAATATAACGAATGATTTTGTTTGTATTGCAGTGTCTGACCATTGAATAGTCTTTTTTTTAAAAAAAATTATAAAATTATTATTAGAAAGATATCTTAAAATTTTATTTATCATTTTTAATACTTGTGTTAAATTCATTTTTAATAAATAATTTATTTGGTATAAAATTATTTAACTTATCGCTTGTGGTCTCAATTATCTCATAACAACAATTTATGTCTTTATGTTTGTAAGCCTTATGTAAATCTTATGAAATTAAAAAATTAATTTTATTAATCATATAATAAATTAAATGTTACTTTTTTTWAAAAATAATTCAAACCTAAATCAAATTTAATGGCAAACTTCTCATTACATGCTATCCAATCACATTGAAACTCTTGTAGCGGTATATGAACACCCAATTGATGGTTTCTATAGTTGATTACCAATTAAATAATATAATTATCTATAAGATAAAGTATGTCCTCATATATATACCTGAGCTCACTGGCCGTATAGAAAGTCCACTGACACTCGAGATAAGTGTCGGAACATTTAAATTGTTTAACACCCAAATGTCTGCTCTGTTATAATAAATATTAGAAAAATACAAAACTTTATTATCACAAAACTGATCCTAAAGTCATTACCTTATGATTTGTTAATAAACTCATTTTCTTGAACTGTAAGACGCATCCATTGATACCGCAAACAAACTTATTGGTCGACCGATCAAACAGGTCTCTGTGCTGTCGTTTGATGTGATTCGCCAGTTGTTGTTGACCACAACAGTTGTCCGCATCGATCGCAACGGACAGGTGTCCGCTTTATATGACACGTCTGGACATGTCTTTTCATCTTTGGTTCGGTCATACACTGGAAGTCGCAGTCCTTAAAGTTACAGACAAATCGTTTAACAGATGAAAACTTCTTCGTCCGCGTTTTGACCATTGAATAGGCTGTCATTAAATGTATAACGTATTCATATAGTAATCAGCGGTAAATTAAAACAAACCTTCATTTAAATCGTTGGTAATATAAATAGAGTTATCGATGTCTTCATCGGTGTTGAGATCATCTTTGTCTCCAAAGTCTACATTACTTTTCGCTTTAGTCTTCAGTATTTTTGGTCTCTTGTTTGCCATAATATCAGTCATCTCTTCGACAGTCTTATGTGTTTCACTGACTCGGATCTGATCTTCAATTAGCAAATTTTCTTCAAACTCTCGACACAAACTCTGATACTGATTGTTGAGATGCGTTAAGACGTCTGCCGATGACCGGGTTTTGTCACAATTACACCAATCGTGCCATTCATTCGTGTAATTTCTAAACTGATCCAACAGTTGTCGCATTTTGATGGCCAACAAAATCTGTCGGCAAAGTCGCTGATTTTCGGCGGATAACTCGTCAAAAATATCGACGACATCAATGAGACAACCGCTTCGGGACGACATTGTTGTGATGATCATCAACAACAACAACAACAATAAGTTGAACCACCACTTGATTATCACCCAAACAACTTGTGTCCACCAAAAAATAAATCGTTGATTTAACTTATGAAGCAATCATTGCGTCAATCGATTGAAAAAAATAAACAAACATTTGTTTACAAAACTTTTTTTTTATACTATAATTCATAGAAAACGTTACAATAGTTAATAACTACAGTATTATGTAGTTATAGTTAATTATAGTTATTATTACTATTTAATTACTAATATTTATTTAGTAATTTAATTTTTTTAAAAATTAATGTTTTATAATATGTAGTAATACTGTAAATGAATAATAATAATATTAATAAATATTTAAAAATTACTTTCAAATTAAATAACATCAAAAAAGTTATTTAAAAAAATAGTTAATCTAAATATATTAATTGTATGAAATTATTAATAAATCAATAATTTGGTACAAAACACAAAAGTATATAATTTATTGAAACATCAAATTGAATGACAATTTTTTTTGTTTTTTTTTAATTTTATCAATTAATTACTTTCTAATTGATCCAAAAAAATTTTGTGACACTAATAATAACGACAATAGGATTGATTGAGACACACATAGAGGATAAGGGATGTTAAAAGTTTGACGCACTGGTAGTACTAAGCGGTTGGTTAACATCGCCTGCGATGTTGGTGTCCAACACTGACAGCTGATCTTCTTCTGCTTCTTCTACTACTACTTCAACACCGACTTTGCCATCAATTTCTGATAGTTTTTCCCGATTAAACTGACTATCACTAGACTCCGGGTTAATGGCCGTCGCCGCTGTCAATAGTGTGGGTGTGTATCGTAACTTTTGCAGCTCCTGTAGCTGATTGATCAGTATGTCCTGACGTTCGAGAAATTCATCCAAATCGCGATTGGGATTTACAAACGACTGCCGATATATTGGCAAATATAGCATGAATTTCATACGTCTGGACAAACCCATCAACGAATCGCGAAATGCCAGTTCCATGAGCTCATAGCGATAGGGTATGATCTCTCTGTCCACTGGCCGGTCGTCAAAGTAGAAGGTAAACTCCTGGCACCAGGGCTTCTGTCGATCGGCTATCAGGTCATAGTAGACATGTATTTCGCCGTAGTGTACGACCAGATTGGGTAGCCATTCGGCAAATACACCGGTGCCGAACACATTGAATCTCATACGCCATCGTTCGGTGCCGTCGTGTGCGGTCCGCATAAACTTTGGATGTTTTGTATCGATAATTGTCACATAAAAGTTGAAGCCATTGTGTGTAATGCGCCTATAGTTGTGTAGCTCTTGTATCTCAACGCATCGGGTCTGCTGTTTGCCATCGACACCGGTTTCGAAACCCCAGTAGGGCTTTGATCGTCGACTGTATGACCAGTTTCCCGATCGGCTCTTAAGCACCATATCTTTTGATTGAATACTATTTTTGATTGTAATTTAATTGATGATTAATTAAAATAAACTAAACTAAAAATAACTAATTAATTGATTTAATGATTGATTGATTGGTTTGATTAACGAAACTATTAAATAAATTTTATGGATATATTTTTCTGTTGAAATTAAATTGTTTGACTTATTATTTTAAATTTGAATTTTTTATATAAAGTAAATGTGTTTGCAATATGCAAATGCAAACAATGTAAAATTTTTTATTAATTATACTGTATTTTAACTAATTATAACTAAATATAAATAATATTAACTAATATTAGTGTTAATTTTTTTTAATAATAACAATCAATTGATAATAATTATTATTATACAGTACTATACAGTACTATACAGTAGTGATAGCGCGCGTGTAATTGATTTCACGTGCGATATAACTGTAACATTGAATACAAAGTTTGAATTTCAAACATAACTACAAAATAGAGAAAAACTGTTAAAAACTTTTTGATTAGTCATTCATTTCAACCGATTCTTTGTATGTCTTAAAACTCTTAACCATTAATTTCATTGAATTTTGTTTTTTTTTGTTTGTTTCAAAAGTTAATTGAATTAAACAAACAAAACACTTGTGTCCATCAAATACTCTTTGATTACTGATTGTTGATTCATTGACGACTGTGTTTGTGTCCCATCATAATCACCACATCGTTGATCATGGCCATTACCGTCATTGTCATCGTTGTTGTTGTTACGTCGGTAGTCAAACAGTAGGTGTTTCTAGTCTAAAGTCAATGGACACACACCTAATCAATCACACATACCGTACATATAATTTTCTCACAATTTATTATATAATTGATTACATATTTGTTTATTAATTATTTGATTTGTTGTCTAAATTTTTATAGCCATTTGTTTTGTGTTTATTTAATTGATTTCACATTTTTTTATATTACAAATTTATTTTTAATTTATTTTTAATTTAGTTTTTGTTTCTATTAATTTATTGTATTTTTTAATGTTATAATTTTATTTTGTTTAAATTATTTACTTTATAAATAATATGTGTAATACTGTAAATTACTAAACTATTAATGAATTAATATTATAGCATAAATACTAATTTTTTATATTTAAAAAAATAAATATTAATACATTATTCCAAGATTTTAATGTTTAATTAATTTCTATTAAATGATATATTTTTTTGTATAAAGTATTTATTTTTTTTAATATCGGTAATAAATTATTAAACTGTTAATGAATACAATACATACTATAGTTATAATAAATACTATTTTTTTATTTTTAATAAATAAATAAATAATATATTATTCCAAAATTTTAATGTAAAGATTAATGTTGATTACAGTATTTTATTTATCTATGAATTTTCTACGTTTTCATTTCATATATAAGTTATATATACTGTATATATAAACAACACAAACTAACTAACTGTCCGAAAAACTACCGATTCTTTGGGCTTTAATCGACAACTTTAAACTTTAACCCCTTTAAGCCACCGATGGTTGAGAACCTGTGGCATTGTTAGTCTTTTGCTGACTTTTTACAAACAAAAAAAAAACAATAAAATTCTACTAATTTTTAAAAATATTCACTAATTTCTGAATTGAAATAAACTAAAAGATAATTAATGTATACACACATCGAAATCAAAATCAGAATATTTATTCAAAAAAAAAAAAAAAAAAAAAAAAAAAAAAGATGTCAACGACTGGATTAATAGTCACCAAAACAAACAAAATCTATTATTTTGTAATAATAATTATTATTTGTTTAATTATTATATACAGTGTATATAGTTGTGTTATACGTATATTACCGGTGTTTTCAATGCAAATACGGTGTAAATATTGTTTATAGGAATGACTCGATTACTGAATCAGACACACAAAAACCATTTCGACCAGAAAGTCAAAGACTGGCAGCAAATCGGGATCCAGTAGTATAGGTGCTGTTGGTGTCTGTAATACAAAGTCCAATCTGCCCTCTAATGTTTGCGGTACGGGATATCAGATGCGATCGACGATTTAATTAGATATTTATATATTTAAAACACATTAAAACAAACATCAATCGTCTGTCCAATGTTTACGCCGCCGCCGCCGCCCATGCAATCGTCAAATGATAATATAAATATAATTATACTTAAAATAATAGGTAACAAATTTTACACTATTTAACAATTAATTAAATATATTTTTTGTGATAATTTTAGTAGTTATAGACTTTTATTTTTGTTTTGTTGCAATTGATTGTTGTGTGTATTGTGTTTGACTTTAAATGACACGACTGGATGTCTACAAGCGGTCAATTGGGTCTAAAAACAAAAAAAAAGTTTTATATTCAATATATAAATATGTTCAAAATAATAAGTGATGCATTAGATATACAATAAATTATACACTAATTTATAATTAATTAATTATTTTTTTTGTAATTATTTTAGTTATAATGGTAATGGTTTTTTATTATCATTTTAACTTTGATTTGTCTGATTTTTTGTGGCATACGTTGTATGACCCGCGTAAACATTTACCAAAGATCTATTGGGTCGAGAACTAGTAAATCCCAATATTATATTATTATTATAAAAAATTTATTTAAATATAGTCAACGAAAAGGTAAAATGCATTGTTAAAAAACTGTCTCATTTTGTGCTAAACCAAAACAATAGCAGACGCATCACAAGTACATAGATTACACTTAATATATACATACAATATAGACTCCGCTTTTAAGCATTAGACTTGATAATAATGCGCGCATATATATATACTACTGTACTGTTATATTGAAATTATTGGCGGTCATTATTGTTTTGGTTTAGCGCAGAGTGAGAGTTTTTTATACTGTATAACTTATATATAAAATATTTATTTATTATTTTGTTTTTTAYAATAAAAAAACAGTCGGATTCAAACAGTTTCACCAGAGGCTCACTATTATCAGAATTTCGGAAACTGAAGGATAACCAACGTATACAAAGTGAGATAAAATTAAAAATATTTGTCGATGAAAATGATGTCCAAAATTGGATAAGTTGTCACCAAAACAAAAAAAATTGTCGTTTTRTAATAATAATAATTTATTTAAAATTTATTTATATATATATATATTAAATATAGTTGTGGTTGACATCTATTAAAGATGTTTTCTCTGTAAATATGGAATTATAGTAGTTTATTGGTATTACCCGCAAAACATTTCGACCGGACAGACCAGTAGTATAGGACAGCGGTTCGGCAGTTGCACCGGTAAAGTCAAGATCGGCTAAATCATTGACCGAAAAAGTCAAAGACTGGTAGTAAATCGGGATCCAGTAGTACAGGTGCTGTTGGTGTTGGAAAGTCTAAGTCTAGTCTACCCTCCAATGTTGGCGATACGGGAAATCAGATGAGATCGACGATCTAATTCTTAATAAACTCGTCAAACAATAGGTATGTCTATAGTAGGCGTTATCAAATGATTATACGGTCCCTTATTTTAAAAACATAATTACTGGCTAAGATAAATAAAACAAAAAAATTATAATACACAAATTTAATAACTAATTTTATATACTATTAAATTACAAAAAATGCTTAATCAAAATAAGAGTAATTAAAAATCAAAAAATATGTAACAGTGTATTTGAGCTAGATTAAATATATTTTAATAAAACAATCAAA